GGAGGTGACTTGGGAATAGGTGGGACGGATGGTGGGGATGGTGGAGGTGGTCATGATGGGTTGGGAGAGGGTTTGGGAGTGCGGGGGGTGAACAGGGGTGACTTTGATGGGCGGGGAATGAGGCGGTGTGCTGGATGCGCCGGATGAGGGAGGAGGTAGAGGGAACGGAACAATGGTGGGGATTGAAGGGTTGGTGGATACGGCGGTAGAGGTGGTAGGAGTGGAGGAGGTCGGCAGGGGGGTGTTGCTAGAGGCAGCTGTGGAGGTTGGAGTGGTTTGCACTGTGGAGGTTGGAGTAGTTTGCGTGGTGGTGACGACCGTGATGGGGGGGGTGGTCCCTTCGAGCGTGGTGACGCGATCGCATAAGGATGACACGTTGGCCTTTATGTCGTCGAGAGAGGCGGTGACAGAGTTAAGTGCGTGGAGGATGGCAGAGAGGTCGGGGGTGGCGGTGTTTGCTGGTGGTTGTTCGCCGGCGAGGTTGCGGGCGATGCTATCGACTGAGTCGGCGCGGAGAGAGCCCATGTTGATGCTGGAAGCACCGTCGGCCATTGGGGTGGACGAATGTGAGGCGGCGAGGGAAGACGGGGGGGAGGATGTAACAGCAGCAGGGGAGGCGGTAGCAGCAACAGCAGCAATGGCAGCAGCGGCGGCCGCGGCAGCGGCGTTGGCGGCGGCGCGTTGGGAGTTTTGGTGCTGCGGGTCATACGGAGAGTGGGGGGGGGTAGAAAGGGAGCTTAGGGGTTCGGTAGCATACAAAAACAGATTTGGCAGATTTTTTTTTTTTTTTTTTTTTAAAGAATTTTTCAGAAAATAAAAATATTTAAAGATTTTCAAAATTGCATTGCAAAAAGAAAAATTTCAGAAACGAATAATTGTCGAATTATTTTCGAATTTAATTTACAAAATAGATGGATTTAAATTTAATTTTCGAAAATAATTAATTCAATTAATTTTGTAATTTTAAACTTTATTTGGGTAGAAAAGGATATTGTCAGATTTATT